TTAATTTGATTGGCACTTGAGTTTGTTCTTTGCATAGAATTTTAATCTCAAGACAAGCTGTAAGAAAAATAATTCCTAGTACATTGCCTATTCAAGATCAAATTATAACGAAAAGTAACTTACTTTTCATATACAATTAAAATTATATCAATTAAAAATATGATGTCCGACCCCACATGCGCTTATTTTTCCAACTACCCATGATGCGAGATTGCAGGCTTATCATCGGTCATGTGTTTCCATGGCAGAGAGGCGGCCACACTCCCACATTTTCACTGATCAAACTGTGGATTGCTTTTATTTATGATTCTTGGTGAATCCGACAAAGATTGGGGTCCATGCCCCACGTGGGCTTGAATGGACTTTAAAGCCCACGTGGGGGAGACGAGCTCTGTCCAATCCAGATAATTTCCACTTTCTTGTGAAGTGACATGTGGTGGTGACTGTACTACAGCATTCATTTTTCCTTAATTCGAGATCAAAGTCTAAACTTCGAATTTATTAACAATTTTTTTGTCCATATTTTTTTTCGTCTTAGAATTTTTGTGTATAGATTCCATAGTTATCGGGTCTTAAATCACATAGATTGTTTGAAGTCAATTTGAATTAATTATCTCTTTAGATTTTAAAAAATCTAATTAAAAATTAAGAAATGTTTTATATAAATATAAATTATATATAGCTATTTCACATAAAACAGTTAAAAAATATTTCATATGTATATATTGCATAATGTATATGTATTTTATAGAAAATTAAGAAATAATTCATAAAGAAATATGCTATATACAAAATATGTAAGACCAATTATTTATAAATTAATTTTATATTTTTTGGATTTATTAAAAAATATATAAAAAATCGGTTCTCACTTATATTTTACCGGACTAATTACACACGACTTTAGATATTATTTATAAATTAATTTTATATTTTTTGTATTTATTAAAAAATATATAAAAAAATCGGATCTCGCTTATATTTTACCGGACTAATTACACACATGAGTTTAGACAATTTAAAACAGACCTTCAGTTGTCCAAATCCAGAGTTGATTTATCGAATTGGGCAAGTCTTATTTCAATGAGACATGCTGTGAAATATTTAATTTTTCAACTACATCATTTATTAAAACCATGTTTATTAATCTTCGTGAAAAAAAGTTGAAAAGGACATAAGAAGTTACTATGTTTTTGGATGGTTGACATTATATTTATCATGTTTTTTAATTTTTTTAAAACAATCATAGAGGATAGACAAATTGGGAGGTGATGGAGTATTAATTTTGGGTTGCCATGTCAGATGTTCAATTGGCTGGAATTCATTGAACCAGAACTTGATATCCAATGACAGCTCTTTCACTCTTGTAGAGGGATCCATGAACTTAAACGTGTCTCGGTAATTTGTGATAGACTCTTACCTGTATTTTTAATTAAAGAATAAGAAAGATATTCTAGTAGTCTGCTTCCCTGTACTGCACGTGTAATTTCTTGACACGTGATAAACAACCATGTCAACGAAGCTAAAAAAAATGGCTACCCTCAAATGCCGTGGGCTTGTGATCTGGATTGGAATATTTTGACTTAAATTAATATCAATGGAGCTTCCTCCAAATAAAAAGAAGAGGAAGAAGGAATAACCACGAGCTGATACTCTAAAATTCACATGGGAAATTTAGAGTTAAGACATCGATAAAAATATTTAATATATATTTAATATTAGGGTAATTTTTAATTTTTAAAATATTTTATACTTGGTATTAAATTAATGTTTTTTAGATTATTTTAATATATTGTTGTTAAAAATAAAAAATACATTAAATTAATTATTTTTAGATTTTTTAAATAATTTTGATATGCTAATGTTCAAAAAGAATTAAAAAAATATTATTTTAATTAAAAAATATTTTTAAAAATTAACATACACTATGTTACCAAATAAACATTTAATTATTAATGGGAAGAAGGTTTATTGATGGCAGATTGGATTTATTAAAATTTGTGGATCATGTAAGGATTTCTCCATGAATGATTAATTGATTGATACTGGTTTAGCTTACTTGCCATTCATATATATATATATATATATATTAATAAAAGGGGGCTGTACAAGATCCAGTTTCGGCAATCGGCATGAATAGTAAAGAGATTCCAGAAAGAACCAGAAATTTGGGCCACGACTTCATCGTAGGCCTTGGGGGTTAGTATTCTTTAAGCCCATGGTCTGTCACTGGCAGAAAATAATAGATGACATTCTGGTCTATATTAGTTAGTCACGGGTTGAATTCTAAAATGATTTTGAATATACTAAAATAACTTATTAATATTGTAGATATGTTTTTAAGTATTATGATGTTTTTTTTTAAATTAAGACACAAAAACATGTTGTTTAAGCTTAGTAGAAAAAAAAAGAACAAACCAATAAACCAAATAAAATAAATTATTAGTGCTAATTGAATGCTAAAATAGCAAGCATGTGAAAATATCTAACCCTGATTTTTCTCTTTAATTTTGTCATTTTATTTATTTATTTTGTCTTCAAGATTATTATTTTTTTCCAAAAAAATTAATTTTATTTTTAAAGATAAATTCCAACAGTCTCTTTGAAATATTATATATTAAAAAAATAACTACTATTTAAGGTGAACTTAAAATAATTTTTATAAAGAGAGGGGTATTAATTAATTATTAAATAAAAATATAATGCAAAGAAAAAATAAATAAATAAATAAAAAGCGAATGTATTAATTAAAATAAGAAACACAAAGGAGGTCAGGTGGGTAGGCTAGGTCCGTGTACCTGGTCAACGACCTAATAGCTTATACACGCTTAGATTGGCTTTTTTATGGAGCATTGTTTCTTCTAGCTTGTTTTACACGGACGACGGACCATCTCATTCTTCACAATATTTTCCGATCACTTCTAGCGATTTGTAAATTGGGTTTCAAGTTTTGGAATGCCAAAACCCCATTTTTAGTTTTTTAACTTGAAATTATGAATACATTATGCAAATATAAATATAATTTATTTAAAGCATCATAAAGTTAAAAAATAAAAAAGAAATAACTACTTAAAAAAAAGCTAAATGATTTAAAAAATAAAGAAACAATAGTATGAATTAAAATCTATTTAATAAAAAATCATGCAAAGTGGAAAAAACATAAATAAAAATAATAAAGATATTAAATTTTTTTAAAAATAAATAAAAATAATAAAGATATTAAATTTAAAAAAACAAACAAACAACACATCATTTACTATCTTAATTTCCTGATTATTGAAAAAAATGTTAAAAAATTAGGTTACACTTTTTAGACAATTTATTTTTTAGTTTTCAACTTATTTTTACTTAATAAACATTTTTATAATGTCAATAAATCAATTTATCAACTTAAAATACTCCAAAATTAATATACAAATACAAAATCAAATTAGAAAAAAATAATATCTCAACCGCATCTATATTTTTCGATAACAACACCGCATCTATATTTTTTGATAAGTTGTTAGTAAAAAAACATCTAAATGGAAACCTCCTATCAAATAAAACTAATTAACATCAAAATTATTATTTTTATTACTAAAATATGACCAAATAATAACTTTATGTTTTCTTCATTGTTTTTCAATGAGTTTTTTTTCTTTTAGATTCAAGGATTTAAAAAATAAACTAAATGAATTTTAAAACAAAATAACTTTTGCATGAATATTGTATTTTCCATGTGGTTTTTGTATTTTTTTAAATGTTGATCCTATTTCTTTGATTTTTTTTTTATTTTAAATTTAAACCATAACTCATTAAATTTGTCAGAAAAGAATTTAACTTAGAAAAGTATTCAAAAATAAATAAAATCATAGTAATGATCATATGAGAGTACCACCCCAATCGTTTTACTATAGTAGTTAATAATATAACGGGCCAACATTAGCCGAATAAAATTTTTTATACCAAAAAATGCATATGTGTTGTAAAAAAATAGCTATATAGAAAGAATATATGATAATATTATAAAAAAAATCACTATAACCACATAAAAAAGTAAAAATTAAAAAATATATAATAAATTATTATCCTAAATATATTTTTAATCATTGAATTTAAATGAATTTAAACTAAAATACAAAAAAACCATTTACAAAGAGATTCTAAATACTTAGACCTAGCCTGTAAAAAAAAAGATTAAGTTTATGCATGTTTCTAATTTTTTTCTTCTTAAGATGCATCAATATCTTTTTTTTTTTTAAAATCTTCTTAAGATGCATCAATATCTTTTTTTAAAAAAACAAACAAACAATATAATATATTATTTACAATGATAAATAATGCATATATCGCATGCTGATATAATCATCAACCATAGGTGTTCAATGAACTTGGTTATAACTTTTTAATTTTCATTAATAATATTTTATAAGTATCACTATATTAATTTAACTATATCCTCTAGTATTTTGTTATTTCATCTCACAATTAAAAAAAAAATGGTTTGAAACCATACAAGTAAAAAGTCATTGTACACTAGCAATGAAAGCAATTATACACATTTCTTGTTTCTTAGATTAAGACTTTGCATGCATGCATGTGAATGAGCAATGGTCTGTAAGAACCGCTAGGTATAAATAGCTCTCCCATCAATGCATATATCTAGTACTAATATGGCATCGTTACTACAAGTATTCTTAACTAAACAATAACATGTTACATGGATAGAAACATTGTACCAATTAATTTGATTTTTCTCTTTTTTACAATTTCTCGAAAGCTAAATTTGCATAATATTGATTGGATTATAATTAGTGATATTCACTTACTTAATATCTGAAATACCCATTCGATCATGCATGATTTTGTTTTGAAAAATAAAGGTTAACATTACTCTTTTCCAACACACACAGGAAACCTCCGATATTTAAAACAAACAGTACGATAAAACGTTGGCAAGTATGTGTCATCAGTTTTTATGTAATATTTGTATCTGGTGACATGTTTGAGTCATCTGTCTGAAGAAGATTTGAATATTCCATTTATACCTTATCGATTTTTTGTCCGAAGTATAAATATTGGCTTTAGCTGGCTCTTATAGGCTGTAAAGAAAAGGGAAGTTTGTTAACTGGGGTCCAAGATCCGCCATAGTTGCTAACGATTTATTACTCTTCCTCTTTTATAGGAAGTCAACGGCTCTATCGAGGTTTCTTGATTGATGGGCCTTAAACAGACCCATCACAGATTTGGTTCTTCTTCCCTTCGAGCGCCATTCAAGTCTTTGATTCCCAGAACTATTGATCCCATGAAGTAAGTTTTTTTTTTTTTAACTGCTGATTGGTTTTCATCAAGAAATCTAATCTTGCTTTTTGTGGTTTCGTTTTTTTAGTTTTATTTCTGGTTTAGTGATTGTTTTATTCATAGTCAATGTTGATTACAGTTATTGCTTTTTCTTGATATTTAGAAAGAATTTAATGGGGTTTTGTTAGGACTCTTTAGAGATTAGAGAGCAGGTCTGGTCATTGGTCAAACGATGCATGGTAGCAATTTTGTTTGCTAATTTCATCAAAGGCTTAGTTTTGTTATTCTTATCTGATGAAATAGGTTTCGTACATGGATAGTGTGATGTGGATTCAATATTGAGACATATGGTTGCCGTTTTGTGAATGGTTTTCAGAAAGCGTGGAAGTTCAACTGTCCTTTTCTTAGATAGTGAGGTGCCTATTTTGTATGTAAATTGTTGTTATTAATCCCTTGTTTAATTTGTTACTAACCAGCAGTTAGTAACAATTTTCCCTAGTGTTTTCCGACGTTTAGGTTTTGAATTGCTTATTTAAAGACGCTTGTCGTTGTTGGTGTACCTGCTTCTCAAACATTTGTGGTTGTAGAGAATTGTTGTTCACTATGAATGCATCCTGCTTGTCTCTTTCTGATTTTGATTTAGGCGTCGAGGTTAATCACAACTCCTCCGCAAACTGGGATTCATTCTATGTTATTACCAGGTTGCTTATCCTTGGTTGACTCTTAGCATCGTGCTGTGTATCATTTTTTGGGTGTACTTGCAGGAGGAGGAGATTGTAGGAAAATTTCAAATTTTCTGTTGATGCATTGAGGATGTGTTTCTATTTATAATTGTTGAGCCCGTCATTTAGCAAGCTCAGTCCTGTGGTTTAAATTTCAAAACCATTTAGATTACAGATTTTAAATGAATTCAATACCATTAGATGAGTACTCGTCAAAGAAGTTAGAATTATAGATTGTAAATGAGTTCAATGCCTGTCCCACATGTTACTCAACTTAGATTCAGTATGATCTCTGGGGTGACTATACATCATATGATGGATTGTCGATTGTATAGTAGGCTTGCATGTTCTCATAGATATTATTGCTAGTATCTTCCTATGCCTGAAGCATAACCTCTTAGAATGTCATTTTTTATATTCAATCGAATGTCCTTTTGGAAAAGTTTTACTCAAGTGTATTGATTCTATCTTTTGTATTCTGGCAATATGTTTGCTTTTCACAGAGGAAGAAAGATTTTGGGGGTTTCTCTTTCTATCTTTCTTATAAACATGGCTGCTATAATGGAGCGTGCTGATGAAAATCTCCTTCCTGCTGTTTATAAAGAAGTTAGTGAAGCTTTTAATGCTGGACCATCTGATCTGGGGTATCTTACTTTCATAAGGAACTTTGTGCAGGGACTGTCATCACCATTGGCAGGTATTTTAGTAATAAACCATGCCCGTCCCACAGTTCTTGCAATGGGAACTTTGTGTTGGGCCTTATCAACTGCTGCAGTGGGTGCAAGCCAGCATTTCTCGCAAGCTGCATTCTGGAGAGCAGTAAATGGCTTTGGGCTGGCAATTGTAATACCAGCATTGCAATCTTTCATTGCCGATAGCTATAAGGATGGCGTGAGGGGTACTGGATTTGGATTGCTAAGCTTTATTGGTAACTTGGGTGGTATAGGCGGTGGTGTTCTGGCAACAGTTATGGCTGGTCAGCAGTATTGGGGTGTACAAGGATGGCGTTTTGCCTTCATCATGATGGCATCATTGAGTTTACTAATAGGGTTACTTGTTTTCTTATTTGTGGTTGATCCAAGGAAAACAATTGGTGTCAACCGTGACATCAGTGAGAATTTTGAAAGGTGCCTATCACTTTCCTGAGACTATTTAGTTTCTTCACATGCTTTGCTTATCTTAATTTACATTTAATCAAAATTTCATTTCAACTTAAAAATAAAAGTACAGCCTGTTGTAATTGAACCTTATTTCAATTTTCTGTGTAAATAGGTGATGGGGAAGTCAATGTCTCTGATTCTTTTGGTTTGGTAATTCAGCTTCTTTTTGCTGCAGAGATGAACTGGTAGAAAAGGGAAATTCTCATGAATTATCAATTTGGACAGAGTCCTGGACAGCAACAAAAGCTGTTATGAAAGTGAAAACATTTCAGATAATTGTCCTGCAGGGCATTGTTGGTTCCCTGCCATGGACTGCAATGGTGTTTTTTACTATGTGGTTTGAACTGATTGGTAAGTACATTCCAATTTTATTTCACTCCAAACTGTATTTTCATCAGAAATACATTGAAATTGCTGATGATATGCTACCATTGCATCATTCATCAAAATTGAGTGCCATGATGAACACCTGTTTCGTTATGCAATGAGGGAGCCAATTGCTATCACTGTATTATCGCTCCTCCTTTCATTTAGTTTTGAAATGTTGTAGGGAATCTCTTGCAATAGGATAATTACTCCAGAACATTCAATAATAACAGATTGGCTGTTTCCCATTGTCTCATTATAATGCCATGGTCTCAACTTTCAGGTTTTAATCATAACAAAACAGCAGCTCTCCTAAGTTTCTTTGCTGTTGGGTGTTCATTGGGGTCCCTCCTTGGTGGCATAATAGCTGATCGGATGTCACATATTTACCCTCACTCTGGCCGTATCATGTGTGCCCAGTTTAGTGCTTTCATGGGCATCCCATTCTCTTGGTTTCTCCTCAACGTGATTCCACAATCAGTAAGCAGCTATTTCACCTTTGCTGTTACCCTTTTCATGATGGGCCTAACAATCAGCTGGAATGGTACTGCTGTTAATGCCCCAATATTCGCTGAGGTGGTGCCTGTAAAACACCGGACTATGATTTATGCATATGATCGTGCTTTTGAAGGATCGTTCTCTTCTTTTGCGGCTCCACTGGTCGGAATCCTTTCAGAGCAGATGTTCGGTTATGATTCAAAGTCTGTTGATCCAATTAAAGGTTCTGTACGAGAAGCTTCTGCACTGTCTAAAGGGCTTCTTTCGATGATGGCAATTCCATTTGGTTTGTGTTGCTTGTTTTACACCCCATTGTATATATTTTTTAGGCAAGACCGTGAAAATGCAAGAATGGCGGGTTCAAAAGCATTAGAGATCATGTAAGAAGCCTTTTCAGAATTTCCACCATGCAACATTTTTTTCATGAAGCGTTTTTTTCGAGGATTCATAATTCTGTGCATTTCACTTGAAGCGTATCGACATGGCTTTTGACTGCAGCACGTAGTTGGCTGTGTGCTGGTCGTTGTATGACCAATTTTCTTGATTATCGAACTTTTTTGAGCTCCAACTACATGGGTGTCCCGTGGCGCCAATTGTTTTTACCATTGTAAATAAGGAAAGCCAAGGCAACGCAAGCATCCTTAACAGGGAAAAAAAAAAAACCCAACCCGATAGCTGGTCATTGACTTTGATCGAGTCAATAAACTAGCATAGTTTTGATATAGGAAATAAAAAATAAAAAAATTAGCAATTTAAAAAGAAAAGAAAAAGTGACAACTGGCTCATTGACTTTATTCAAGTCAATAAACTAGCATAGTTTTGATATAGGAATTAAAAAATGAAAAAAATAGCAAGTGAAAAAAATGGAAACAGATAAATGGGTAATTGATTTTATTCGTGTCAATAAACCAGCATAATTTTGATATAGAAATTAAAAAATGAAAAAAATCCTAAATCTATCTACGTTTATGTGAAATTCATGACTTCACATCAAGATATCCTAGTTAGAAACAAATTGAAAGTTCCAATATATATTGAAATGTGAAACTTAAAAAGGAATAATAAAAAAAATTCAAGTTGTGTAAACCTATTAATCACATGAATATGAGCATATGATTAAGATAATTCAACAAAAAGAAATAAAAAAAACATGAAGATCAATTTTTAATAAATTAAAGATTAAAAAATGAAATTATTTTTTTTCATGAAAAACCTAACAATAGATTGAAGTCAACCCTTGTTAATATTTAAACCCCATTGAAGGTAAATCCAAAAAATAATGAAGGTTAATTTTTTTTTTTTTAAAAAAAAAGCAATGCAAAAAAGAAGCAAAACAAAAGAAAGTCAATAAAAAGAAAGCAAATAAAAATTGACTAAAATAAATCAAAATGAAATGTTGAGTACGGATGACAATAAGTACCTATGTATTTGATTTTTTAATATTTATACCCTACATGTTACCAATAGATAAAAAATATAAATATTCATAAATTAACTAATATTTAAATTTGAAGCATGTGTGTGTGAAATTATTAAAATATAAAATAGTGTGTGTGTTTTATATCAATATCAAAATGTATATACATCGCATTGTAATAAAACAAAATCAAGATGTTCTCCAATATATTTGTATAATATAAACATAGAGTATGTTTTAATTATATTTATACGTTATTTATTACTCATCCATTAGGTAAGATAATCATTTGAAAAATACCAAATTATTCAGGGCAGGTTGAGGTGATATCTATTAGGTTCAGATTAAATTATAATTTATAATATTGGAGGATAAAATTAAAAATAAAATAGAATTATAAAAATGCTAAAAATAAAATATATAATAATTACAAAAACAAGGACTAAATTTAAAATAAAAACAAATAAAATTAAATGGTTAAGGATGAAATTGAAAAAAAAAATTAATCAAAAATAAAAACAAATAAAATTAAATGGTTAGGGATGAAATTGAAAAAAAAAACTAATCGATAAAAGATTAAAAAAATAAATAAAAAACAAAATAATGAGGTCCAAATTTAAAATGAAAACTAAATAATAAGGAAAAAATAAGAAACCAAAATTAATCGACAAAAAATTAAAAAAAATAGATGAAAGTTGAAAGAATAATGACCACATTTTATTTATAAAACAAATGAAAAGAAACTTGTGTACCTTGTCTAAGAGAAGAGAGAGAGGGGGGGAGGAGGAGAAAAAAGTTTATAGGGCTCCATTCGTTTGTCACTGTCATATACACCACTTTCTGAAAGATTTCAACACACCACTTCAAACGCTGCCACAAAAGGTGGTGTTTGAGTGAGGAGGAGCTTGCATGTGCTGCCCAAAAGGGTATGGGTTCCTCTCACTGCATCTCACTGCATGCAACAATAATTTTTTTAACAAAAGGGTATGGGTTCCTCTCACTGCATGCAACAATAATTTTTTTTAAATATATTTTGTATGTTAAAATATCTAATTGCCCAAATTGACAATTACAGAAAAGCTAGAGAAAATGACAAAAACAACCCTGGACCTAAGTAAAAGAAAAACAAAAAGGCAAGGGTATTTAAGTAACTCTAATGTTAATAAAATTTAATAAAAAACCTCCTTGCCCCTAGGTTATATTTTTTTTTGTTTTTAAAGGGTGGATTAATCGTTTAGCTGTTCAATAAAAATATAAAAATATCAATTTATCTCTAAATAAATAAACTGGTAATGTCAGTTGAACCCATAAAAAGATTATTTTGCCCACAAACCCAGCCCTTTCCTTACAAATGTAAAGGGCAAAATCATCAGTAATAATCTCCTACAGAGGACTGAGCCTTGCTCCATGGTGAAAGATGGATGGAGTTTATTATTATTATTATTATTATTAATGATAACTGCTTTTCATAACTAAGCTTGTGTTCTCAATGTTTTGTGTGATTTGATGCTATCTATTTAGGTACAATATACACCATTCACCGAAGTATTACTCCTCTGTTAGGAAACGGAAGAAATGATACATTTGGATGAGTTTGGCGCGCTCGCATGCACCACCCCTGATCATCAAGGCTGTTCTAAGTTGCTGATGAACACCAACTTGATCATCCATCTGTGTTTGAATTGCGAACGTCCAAATTGAGGCGTCAGCTTGTTGATTAGCCACGACACATGGGAAAAGAGAGGTAAAGCTATCCAATTAGGTGTGCACGAACCCGAAGTTGATGGTTACATAATGATTCCAAAGGAGCCATGGAGATTGGCCTGAGCTTCCAGCAAAGTGCAAACATGTGGCCTTCCAAACCCACGCAAATGCATTTAAGACTGCATCAACGACAGGTAAAGCAAGTCCAAACATCTCCTTGAATAATCCAAGGAAGCCACCCTCGATTGGATTTTACAAAGATTACCAGATATGAACGGGCGAGAAGTATTTCCATAACCAGATACGGCAGTGAAATAATACAATGAGAGGTCCGATAATTCACGCTTGAGCGCCAACGTGCGCATGGAGACCGAGACAGAACGTTAATTCCCTAAGCCATGCGCAAATTCTTGTCTAACCTCGCTCCACATTGAAATAAATAAAATAACAAGTCGACATACAAATTGCATCCAAGAGTTACGATAGCATACAAATTGCATACAGATTAGGTTTGTGTTTTCAGTTGCATGGTATTCTAGGAACTAAGGCCCCCAGCTCCACCCAGAGAATCAAAAAGGATAACAACATAATTTGAAGATAAATTTTACAATCACGGGCATTCAAGCATTGATAACACATTTGAATTGGCACTATGTACCACCAAATAGAACCTAAATACACCGTGGAAAGAAGGATTGCCCCACATACCCGCCAGTCATAGCCCTTCTCACATTAGATTCAAACATCTTTGGGTTGTCCCTCAACACTGCTGCAGCATCATGATTAAGGGGATCCTCGTAATTTGGTTCCTGAAAGCACAATATTAAATGAAGTAAACAGAATAGATGTAAAGAGGTCAGAGATACCAAATGCCAACAAAATCAGGATGAACTTGATAGTTGAACACACAAAATAATACCGTGAAGAGATGATATAATCCATAAATGATGGTGTTTATATTGAGGACAGGTTTCCAATCTTCTCGCAAGATATTGAGACAGACATTTCCTTCCAAATCGATGTTTGGATGGTAGACCTGCAAGTTGAACAAACAATGTATAAAGACAATCTTAATCCATTAAAACATTAATTAATTTAGAAAAGCAATGTCTTTATAAAATACCTTGGTTTTGCATTTAACTTTTGGTGCTTCGTGTGGGTAGATCGGGGAAACTTGGAAAGAGAACAAAAATGTTCCACCTCTTCAAACACGAATGAGAGTATTAAGTAAAATAATCATTTCTAGAAAGAAATGATACAGTTTTTCAGATCATATAACAAAGAAACTTATGAAATACAGAGACTACTAAACTTTAGGGAAAGTTCATTACAAATAATATCCTTCATCTGGCCGGATAGAAACCTCAAAGCTCATAAGGTCATCCTTGCCATTGGGGAACGTCATGGTGCATGATTTAGGTAAGTTCAGCTCAGAAATATCTGCAACATGCGATGTAATGGAGGAAATGAGTGAGAATGTCAATAAGATAGCACCACATAAGAAATGATCTCAACTTCCAAGATTATCTATTTTATATAGTGTTCCTGAAGCAGACAATTACAACCAACTTAAATAAGAAAAGTTTGTTTTATAAACTGTTCAGGATCAAGTTTGTTACTAAAACAAATTCATGTATAGTTTGATCTGCAGAAATCTGTTGTTGATCTATCCCAGTTACTTGATATCACATCAAGTAAAAGGGTCCAGCGGGAGGTGCAGGAAGATTGAACGCAAGATCAAATAATATGCTATGTGTGCGGGATTCTTTGAGCCAATGAGTTGCTTGAAACATTACAACAGAACTTGCAACTTTGAATTCAACACACACCTCTTTCTTAGCCCAAGAAGAGAAACAAAAATCTTTTCATCCAAGAGAAATCACCCAACTAATTAATCTTCCTCTCCTTGTACATATCAAAGTTAAAAAAAATTATTATGACATTGCTAACTTGGGTTGAGAAACATTTTTAAGAACTAACATGTAAACACTACAATAAGGCACGTATTCATCATCAAAAACTTAAACGAGATTAATTAAAACAGAGCAAAACAAAACCGTGCAATTACTAACTACAAGGGGCAAACCTTTATGAAGACGCAATTCTCCAGCACTTTGCTTCTTGATCGGCACGCCACCATTAGCATTTTCAGCAAGTTCTCTCTGCTTTTCCTTCACTTTAAATAGCCGAATCATAGCTCCTGTCATAGAAAAAGAACAGCACTAATCAGCCATCAAATCTCTTTAGGTTTTCACAAAGATCACGTGTATCAAAATAATCTACTCACCGTAACAACAGAAATCTAAATCGCACACAAAACTACTAACCAATCAATCAGGAAACAAAAAAGAAGACAAATACCCAGTTAAATACACAAAGGATTTGCTCTAACCTCAAAAGGACCCTTCAAAAACATCAAGAAGACGTGATTCTCTAGAGTCATTCACTAACTCAAAAAATGGATATCCATTGCTTTCAAGTTAAAAAGGACAATTTTTTTAAAACTAGATCGCAATCTTTTATATTCGAGTAAAAAATCATCAAAGAAATGAAACGAAAATAAAGGGTTCCACAGCAATAACTAAAAAGCCCAAAAAAGATCCAAACTTTAAAACGTGAAACCACACGCAAATAAATCTGAATGATAACAACAACAAAATACCAGCTCAAAACCCAGAAATCAAAATGCCTAAATCGATGAAAGCGAGAAACCAAAATCTAAAATGAGAGAGATAGACATGTATCTTACAAGGTACCTTATCTGTTCGAGAAAAATCCACAGAGAGAAAGAGAGGAGTAAGTTTTTTTGATTGATTTGCGAGTAAGCCTTTTTATAAAACGAGGGGAAAGGGGAATTCTCTGTTGCACAGTGCACACAGATTTGGCTTTGCAAATTATTTACGAGTAATGAAGGCGGGACCCACCCCCTCTGGCTGGCCCTATGGTTCGTTCTCCTCATAGTCTGCTGCAAATGCACAAAGAAAAGGACAAACTTGCCCAAAGTCCTCTAACTCTATAAAGTATTTCGACTAAGTTCTTTAGTTTTGAATTTATGCAATTCAACCCCCAATTTGCTTCACCCGTCAAAATCATTAATAAAATTAGAGATTTGTATGTATTTTTTCACATGTAAATATTTATTTGGTTTTAAATATCACAATTATCAATGGTAATTTACTTATAAAAATTAAATCATTAACACAATATTTTTGTGAGTCATTTGAAACCATATTAATATATTTAAAAAAATAATTGCTACCATCTCTCTTAAGTTCGAAGCCAAGATAGTATAATATAAAGATAGATTAAAGCATTATTTTGTTCCCCAAATCAAATGATGAAGGTAAGTGTATTTTACAAAAATAATTTTGTAAGCAACATTAAATGTGTACAGAAATTTTTAGGTCTTATAGGTGTCATTTGTAAGCATGAATGCACAACAACTTACATAAAATTAAATGTGTACAGAAATTTTTAGGTCTTGTAGGTGTCATTTGTAAGCATGAATGCAACTTACATAAGAAATTAAAACTTGTTATTTTTTATTTGGAAAGGGGATAATGTTAATTAAAATATGACAGTCTTAGAATAATATTGTTTAATCTTGAAGTTCAAAGACTTAATTGAAAAATGTATGCATAGTTGGGAGCTGGCTTGTAATTTTTCCAAACCAGAGCCTGCGGCCCACTGTAGTGTAGTCGCAAGTCATATGTGGATAAGTGAAGGAGATATGGAGTAGATTGCTTATTTGCTACGCTGCTATGGAATATTTTTGTATTTATAATCTTTTTGACTATCTTTTGTTTTTGTACAGAAAAAAAATGATAGTTTTTTTTTCTATAATGATTGTACAAAATTGTTTATAATAAATTCTATAAATTTAAAATTAATTTTGTTGGAGTATTATATAATTTTTATCTTTTAACTTTTTTTTTTAGAAAACAATGAACAATGTAATTATAATTATTTTTTAAATATTTTTTTATGCTAGAATGTTTGTCAATAATTTGTTTATTTTTTTAAATTATTTTTGATATTAACACATTAAAATAATTTGAAAATACTAAAAAAATATTAATTTAAATTAAATAAAAAAAATATTTTTAAAAAAAAACATTTTATAAATACAAAAACAAACAAGTATAAGTTTATTAATATTAGCTACATTAAAGATTCAATGCTCAAAATCTAGGGACTTGAAAGCTCTAGTGTAAATTGCTTAATCCTCGTAAATCAAAAGTATTAAATGTGTAAAGTTGTTTCAATTTACTAAAATGAGTTTTATCTCTCAAAAACAAAATTCCTAAGATGTTATTTCAAGTTTATTAGATGGATTTTCTTTCCCATGCATCGGACTTTTCCTGAGCCTTAGCGCTTCTAATTTTTTGGACCATGCCTTGTTTGGATGGAAATAGATCGATAAATATTGGTTTTAAAAAAGTTATATTTATAGTATGATTGGTATTATAATAGCTTTTATACATGTAGTTTAAAAACATAAATTTAAAAAAATTACTTTTAATTATTATTAGTTTAATTTTATAGGTGTTTGATTACACTATTTTTAAATAGTTGTTGAATAAAAAAGTAATTCTCGTAAATTTAATTAAAATTATTGTTAAAAGTGCTATTGATAATGAAACAACTAACAAAAATAAATTTAACAATTTTATAATTTCAAATTAGATTATAATGTATACTATTATTAATATTAATATGTCATAAATACACCGATACAACATTGAGGTCATATTCGGAGAGGAGCACGAAGCACGCTTGATGGAGACGACTAGCTTTGGCAAAAACATGTTATGAGAATTGTTGATCCCTTCTAAGGGTATTTTGGTCTCTGTCTTTTCACGGATAAAAGCCACGTCTCTCCCTCTCTTTGTCATTGAAACGTGGGTTCTCCATGGGAAAGCATGTTAAAAGCAAGCCAATAGGAAGAGGAGGTTTGAGAACATGACAGTGATTGAAATATTAAAATAATATTATTTTTTAATTTTTATTTTAATATTAATATATATTTAAAAAAACTAGAAAAAATATTTTTTAAAAAAACTAAAATTTAATGGGAAGTAGATTAAAACTCACTTTCAAACACCCTTTAAATCTATCTCACTAATAATTATGGTTAGATCTTAATAATTGATGCAATCCACTACTTAAACTGTAAATTAAATATTCTTACCAAAAAATGTATTAGAATATGTTTGTCTCAATCACTAAGATAAACTAATATTTAATTTATATATTGTATATATTTTTTTATAATCCAATTATTTTCTAATTATAAGCTATTATTAACTAATTTATTTATTTATTATGAAAAATAGAAGAATGAAAAGAAAAACATGTGTAATGGAAATTTTAGTTAGGATGGAAGGTATTTTTTCTAATTAAAAACCACTAAATTGTAAATGGTCAATGTTAGCGGATAAAGTTTTTAATTATTTTTTTAAAACTACTAATATTAATTAATTAATTTTGGAAAATTATAGGGGCAAAGTTATACTTCACTTAATACATTGGAATTATTTTGAAACTAAAAAGAAAATTCATTTGTGGTTCAAAAAAAAATTAGCAGGTTGGAAGAATTTCTTCAAATTTTATTTAATTTTCAGTGTCTGGAATATTAGGGCAAAAAACCCAATTTAAATCCAATTTGTCTTTGTTGTTAGAGACGTTTTCATCTCAAACACACCCATCAAAAGCACAATGTGGAGAAAGTGTTGTTAAACAAGCACAAAATGCTAATAAAATTATTTAAATATTTTCAATAATTTTAATCATTGTTTTTCTTTATTTAGAGGGCAATTTGTTAGAGATGTTCATCAATTTATTTTCTACTTAGAACTTTTAATTCTTTAAAAAAAATCCATAAATTAGTAACGCTAATTTGCTATATTTGTTGTCCATCAATGAACAAAATGTCATCTTTTGTTTCAGATTCTACACATACTTTTCATGCCATTTTACTACAATGATATTTTTTGAATAAATTTTTATTTAATAGCTCATGTAATCAATCATTTTTTAACCCAATTTTATTTAATAGCTCATCTATTAAACTATTTAATATTTTTTTTCTAAATCCTATTTTTTTTAATAGTATAACCACACAAAAATCAACATATCATATTTTTATTTATTAAAATTGATATCCTATTATTTATATAATTAATTTCATATTATATACTGAATATTAATCCAATGACTAGGTCAAATAAATGAGTGAAATATTGTGAATTTGCCATTATAATTTTATTACGGCTCAAATTGCCTTTAAAAATAAAAATTTCTAAACTCTTTTTTATTATTATCATCCAACTACTATCTTTGTATTTTTATGATTAATTACACTAATCTTCCCATAATTTTTTTTCACTCTATCTTTGTTTTTTGTTTTTTTAAATTACCCATCAACAAAATCTTTTAAATTAGATAAAATTACTCAATTGCTTTTATATATATATAAAAGCTCGTACAAAAAACATATCTCATATTATTTCTCATCTAGAACTAGTTTTCTCTCTCTTTCTCTAGACAATATTCTATTTATAAACAACCCTAAATTGAAATTAATATCTATGTTTTTAATCAATTTCTCCTTTGTAGTGATGTTTGTTATTTATTTACACACTATTTGTTTCATGCATTATGTATCTCACTCTTTTCTAATTTAAAACTTAATGTATTTTGTTGTCATATATTTGTTTTAATTGACATATTGAAATGTGCCACCAATACATTTTGCTTTTGTTAAATATGGTTAATTGATTACATTATAGGTTGAATTTAACTAAAAAATAAAATATTTATAATTTTTTAAAAATTAATCTTAAAACTTGAAAAAACACTAAAATTTTATTTTTTGCTTGAATATTGATAATATTCAGAACCCTGTATATGTTTTAGCCATTATTTAACCTGATTGGTCATGTTTTATTAGAAACAATAAAAAAACTCAGAAATAAAGTTCATGTGTTATTATTCACTAAACCTTAATTTTTATTTAAAACATGGTTAATTTATGATTTATGTTTAACTCTTATATAACCTTCATCTAACCTTTTTTTTATATAAAATTAATGATATTTTTTAAAATCATGCAAAACTGTCAAATTAAAACTTACTGTTTACTAGATTTTAATCTCTTAATATATGCTTAATATATATATTTAATTTATGTTTAACAATTCTACGAACTTTGCTCAACTATTTTGAACATAATTGGCCATGTTTTATTGGAAACCCTAAAAAACCCCAAATTGAACTTATAAGTTATTGTTAATAAAACCTTAATTTCAGTACATTTTGTTTAACCATTATTATACCATTATCTAATATTGTATTATACATCATGACAAGATATAAAATATCATCTATTGTAGCTTATCATAATAGTTCATCATAAGTCAATAAAGGTTGTTACTATGACTATATAACTTTGATATATTATTCATATGCAAGCAAGTCTTTGTTATAGAGGGAATATAATTTTCTGATGATGCATCAACATTACAAATATCTAATTTGCATAAAGATACAAAAAGAAAGAAAGAGATCATCTTTACATTGATGTAGATCCTCCTAATGCTTATTTAATAATGGAAATATCAAGGTATTATTTAGATAAACCAAATGATGGTAGGTTATGCAAGATAAAATACTTCTAGGTTGTTGATAAAGCAATACAATGGTACTATATTTTAATGAAGAAGATTTATTTAGTGATGATGTTGATATCGGTAATGAAAGAAGTGAAATGATTTTTTGAAGTGTTGGAAGGTAAATGTTGGTGGTGTTAAAACTGAAATGAGTAAAAGCATTAATGTTGGTAATGCTATAAATGAAATGGTTGATGTTGACACTTTTAGTATAAATAAGAGGGGTAATGAATATGACAAAGATGATA